TTAGATTAATTTTTTAGGAGCTATTGAAAATTTCTGATTTATTATTACAGATATTTGTTTTATTAGCTGATTTTTCACCACAATATTTTGTACCTGCTGTGTATCATTAGAATCATGTCTAAAAGCTGTTTTTATAATGAAGTTTAATTTTTTCATAATTGTTCAAAATTAATGATAGTCTCTCTCAAATCTTTCATCAAAACAATTTCCTGGGCCTTTTGAAGTGATTTTTTTTAGCTGTAATGCTGCTTATCTTAAATCATATTATATTATATTATATTTATTATATTATATTATACTGTAATATATTACACTACTCTGAGAGTTGCTCTCCAGTCATCTAGTACAATACCTGAAACTAGTAGAGGTTTTTAATATTTTTCTGAATAGCTCAGTAGTCCTATTACAAGTTCTTTCCCAACTCCTAGAGATGTACCACCAGACTCTGAAATACAGTTCTCTTATTTAGCCATCTCTGCTATTTCAATTAAAAGGTGCATCTTGTCTCTTTAAAAGAGTAGTTTCAGAATCAATAACCATGTAACTTTTGTCAAGGTAAAGGTAAAAATAACCAAGGAATCTCTGCAGTGTTGGTCACTTCATTAATTGCTTTTTTGCTCTATGGCATTTTAACAGACATAATATGCTTAAAAATGTAAGTAGAAAAAAAAAATGGAAATTATATTATTAGTTTTCATTTATGCTTTTCATAAACTGCCCTTCCCTCTTCATTAAGCAGTACTTTCTCTCTCCTTTTTTGTAGGATCTCTTTAAGAACTACAGCTCATACCTTCAAGCTTTGCCTGTTATTCTTCTATTTCCCCCCCCTCATGTTTTTTGCTTCCTTTTTTGGGGGTGGAGAGCAGATGCGTGGCTTCTGCAACTATGAAGATGTACTTGTGGTCTGTGTGCTGACTTAAAAGTTTCAATTTCCTCATCTGGAGTTTTCAGATCATGTTGATTAGCTTTTCCTTCTTAAAGTCCCCGTCTCCAACATGTACAGTCAGTTTTCAGATTCAAATTTCAAATTCAAAAGAATTCACAAATGAGTCTTCTGAAAAGGATTTGGGGTTTAGTTACACTGCCGTCAGTATTACTCAGAGGTTTAATGGTTTTAATGACAAATTTGAAAATAATTTAAATTATGAGTGAGGATTATGACCCAAAAACCAATTTTTTCTATTAACCAGAAATTCTACCCCTATCTACCTTAAGCATTTATGCAGATCAGAATTTGAAACAACCTTCTACTTCTAACAGGTAGTTTTGCATTTTTAAATAGTGCTCATTAATTTTTCTTTTCCACATCAGAAAGCAAATAATGTAACATTTTAAATTATTTCTCTTTTACAAGCATTCTTAACAATTAAAATTTTTAAACTGTTGCTAGGAAAAGTAGATGTGTCGTAATTGAAGAAAAAAACAAGTGAATTTTCAGTGAAGAAATGAACGCTAACTGAAGGACTTAAGTTTAAACATAGAAATACATTCTGATGCTGAGGTATAACCCTAGAATCAGTGACATGTCTTCATCACTTATCATTCACTCTTTAAAGAAAGAATCCATTTCCTGACAAAGCTGTACCACTTCCGTTAAAAGAAAGATTGGGCTTGGATGCTTAGCATAACTTCTCCTTTCATGGTATGACATTAAGTGGTTTTACATAAAACTCTTGGCCAGAGCAGTTTCATACAAAAATGCTTTAAACAGCAAATTTACCTACTCTATCTACTTTTTGACAGTTAGCAAGCACAAAAGCTCAACTGCAGATTTAGAACAACAACAACAACAGAGCTCTTAAATGCAGATAAAACTACAAATTAGTACCATATTAGAATTTCACCCAAAGTCTGTTTTATTTTATGGCTGTCTTTCATGAGGAGTCCTTCCTTAAATTTATATTTTGCTTTCCAAAATTTGATCCTCTTTTTCCCTTGCTCTGCAAATATTCTCAGCAGGCTGATTAAAGGAAACACTTCATATCCAGCTTTCCAAGACTTGTACTTTGAAAATAGCACCTACACCTGTAACAATTCAATGACCACAAGAAAGTGCTAGATGCCTTCTTAGCATCATATAAGCTACTGTTTTTGTTTGCAGCTCTACTTCAGAAAATAAATAAATCAAGCACCTTGATATTACAAAGCAGTGACACCCTGGAAGTAGGCAGATACAGCACTCATTTTCTTCTCTCTTTCTCTCTCATTTCATCTCAGAAGACTGTATACTGAGCACTTCAATTGCACCTCAGCTCTCAAAGCTGCTTGGCATATAACCTCTTTTAGAACCAAAGAGGAAATGTTGTGACATTTTTTAAAAACTGTTCAATTATATCTTCGTGTGATGTGGGTATTTCCCACAACATTTTTTTCCTTTCTCCTTTTGAAAATAGGAATGGCAAGTGAATATACATATTTTTTGAACAGTTGTGCTGTGGGGTAGGGAAGGGACATCTATCTTTAGAACTCTATTACTCCATGTTCCCAAACTCGCAGCACATGCTCAGCCCAAACACTGAACTGCTGGTTGATCGATCTGTCAGGTTGCTCTTGTTGTACACAAGAATATCAACGTGGCTTGAAAATACTGTGTAAAAAAAAAAATACATCTACACTACACTTCTCATTACATTGTAGTCTTTAATTGTCTTTACATCAAATATTTCTTTGCCTCTTCACATTGGAGAAGTAATGTATTGAACACACAGTTATGCCAAGTAGTATTTTTTGTTGCACACACCTGAATGGTTATTTAAAATGCAAATAACATTTTCAGTCAGTTAAACTGCACTCAGAGCAGCATTTCTAAAAGCACAGTTTACATAGCAAAGGTGGTTTTACTTCTTCAGACTACAAAGAAATCTGTTATAGACCATTCTGTATTCCCTGTGGGTCTATAGCCCATCATTGTTTCTGTACTTTCACATGCCTGCTTCAGCTGCAGGCTCAAGCCAATTTCCTCCCTCATCTGACTGACTCTCTATGCTAGTGATTTTAATGGAACAAAGATAGAATCTGAGGGCTGGCACACAACTGCCCACACTTCTGACTGCTGGCATGGCACAGTTGGGCCCCTGACTAGTACTCCCTGAGTACAAACGTCCTCATACAAGCTGGAGGCCAGCATGGCTCAGTAATTTTACAATCTGTCTAAATCCAGCAGGCAGTATGGAAAAGGCCACCCTGTTTTCACAGGTAAATAATTTAGCTGTATACATGCAGACTATGCCATGCTATGTCATGCCACTTGCACTTGACACCTGGATAACAAATCCTGCTCTACTTCATTTACTGGTATGGATAGAGTCTGTACATTTCCTGTAAATCCTATTTACCCTTAAGGGTAAAAAACTGTATCCTTTTACAAATAGCCATAAAATCATGTGATGCTGCTTCAAAGACAAAAGGGATGGTATTAATTAAACTAGGCTGCTATGCCTGGACCATTTGACTGAAAGTACGTCTACCCTTAAATTGAGCACTGACCAAGTTTTATTATCTCTTACTCCTAAAAGTTCAGTTCAAATGAAATCTTATGCGTACTCTTCTACTTCTAGAATAGATGAGAGGTTTTGTATTTCAGTGTCAACATAGTCCTTCTGTCATAACGTATGCCAAGAGGTGGGTTTGTTTCCAAGCATTCACTTGGGAAGTTTTGCTCTTTTTGTGAAAATGGGAGAATCCTATTGCAAAAAATATATTTTAACATGGGAGATACTATTACATAAAAATCTCCATGTGTTAATATTTGGCTTTGCTTTTGCCAAAGTGCACACAAATCAGTGTCTCTCAGTGACAACAGCAAACTTTCAGCTCATGCAGTATTTTTTTCCAAGCCCAGACAGAGCATATAGAGCAAGCTGTGTGTTTTGCTATAAGCACAGTCTGCAGCTACCATAATGGATCACTAACCTTGGTTAGATTTGTTAGGGTTATCACCTCACTAGTTAAAGTTGCTATACCATTTAACCTGACATTTAAAGGGAAAAAAGGGAATATCTCAGCATGAGGAAAGTAAGCAGATAAAGTCTGTAAAGCTATGAACATCTGAAACTATTTGCAACTACTGAATTCATTGCCAGCTCTGCTGGTGCTTCGTGCAAAGAACAGAGGGGAGTCAGGTTTCAGTCTCTCTGCCGAGGTTTCCAGGGGCCCTCCGAAGCACAGAGCTGCCGGAGGACACTGCGCCAGTCCTTAAGATGTGAGCTGGGACAAAGAATAATCAGCAGTTGTTACTCCTCCTTGAGAAGTAGGCACCCCACTACAAGGACCCACTAGTTACAAAGATGCAAAAAATGTAACAATTAACTTCATCCATTTATTTTGCATCTTCATTATTTTCTCTGCTGCAGGGGAAATGATGATGAAACATTTGCTACCTCTGCAGTAGAGATACGGCAGTGTAATTTTTGATATTAAGTGACAGAAGTTAGCAAACTGATGTATTTTTGGTCTGAAAACACACACACACACAAACCCACAACAACATGAAAAAAAGCCCACCTAAAATTAAAATCAAGACATGGTGTTTAAAGACTGCTGAAGTAGAAAGATAGTGGAAATCTCTGATCAACTTCAAATAGCTCAACTCAGTGTCCCCTCAGGCAGTGTATAGCTACCTACGAACACCCAACAGTTAGATATCTGTGTATACAAACACACACCAAGAAATATGTGATACTGGAACATGAAGGAAGGATCAGCAGAAGACATTCTACTTCACCGATGACTGCTGTACCGGAATTAAGACTTCACGCGTGAATGCTGCTGTTGTGACACGGTGTTACAAACTCGTACCCTTGTCTAAGGCCGAGAAACAGCACTGACACCGAACAAGTGAGCGCAGACGCACAGCCCCGCTCGGTGTGCCGGGGCCACTCCCGCCCCGCTCCTTCCCGCCTCCTCCCACCCCCTTAGCGCCGTACGCGCTCCCACGCCGTGAGGCCGCGGCATTCCGTGCCGTGTACGCGCGCGCCATGCGCTGCCGTGCCGGGACGTACCGGCGTGCCGGGCGGGCGGCTGCTCTCCCGCTGCCTCGGCTCAAGGAGGTGGGCAGCGCGACCTGACTCCATCCGAGCCGTGCCGGGCCGTGCCGTGTGGGCCCGCACACGCCTTTCCTGAGGGGAGGCCCGCAGCCCATCGCCCTCCGGGAACCACCCCCCTCCGCCGTTTCTTCCTGCCCCTGCCTTCGCTGCCCGGTCGTTGCCGCCAGGAGGCTGCCTCCCTTTCCCCCATGCACGACGGGGCGCCGCTCGGATCCCCCCGCCGCCATTACGAGTGGGAAGGCGTCCAACCTCCCCCCCCTCCCAATACGATGGAACCGGCCCGCAGTACAGAGATGGCAGATGATTGGCAATCCCAGACACCAATCAGCGCGCTCCTTTTTTTCTCTAGGCGATGCAACGCCCGCCCTCAGGCGGGTTGGGGGATGTAGGAGAGGCGGGAGGGAATGTTTACAAACAAGATTAGGGAGTAGAGCGATGGCGGGGTGGGGAACGAGGAGGCGGAGCCGGCGATTGGCGCAGCCGTTGGGCCAATCAGAGAGGGCGCCGCTCGGCGGAAGGGCGGGGGGCGGTGCGCGGAACGATCTCTGCCCAACAGCCGCGGGCGCTCTCGAGCGCTCGCGCCAATGAGGGCTGGGCGGGCAGGAATGGGGAGCTGAGAGGAGCGGCCACGGCGCTCGCTTAGCCCTCCACCCCGTACGGTTCAGCCTATCCCGGGCGGGCTGGGCTCGGCTCGGCTCGGCTCCCTGCCGCTGGGCGGCTGGAGCAGGGGGGAGGGGAGCCGCAAGGACATGGGCCGGCTCTGAGGGCCGAGGGAGGGCAGCCTACGTGTGTGCCGCCCCGTATTTTACTAACTGCTTGCTGTCGGGTTTATTTATTTCTTTTTCTTCGCGCGCCCCCCCTTCCCCCTTCCCCACCTCAAGGCGGAGGGAGAACAGTCCCCTCCCTTCCCTCCCTCGCCGTGCGCCTATGGCTCCCGCTCCTCGCAGCGTCCCCGGGAAATAAAATCCGCCCGGGGCTGGGTGCCGCCCCCCGCCTCCACGCACACACCCGCGGGGAGCGGCCGAGGCGGGGGAGCGCCCTCCCGGGAGAACATGGAGGGCCCCTCGGGCTCGGCGCAGGGCAGCGAGCGGCCGCTGCTTACCGTCACGCACGAGCTGAGGAACGGTGAGCGGCGGGGGTATGGCGGCGGGGCCGGGCCGAGGGGGGGGGGGCCCCCCGGGGGGGGGGCGGGCCCCGGGGGGGGGGGCGGCAGGGCAGCGGGGTATTTCTGAAGAAGTGTTTGGGCCACACTTCTGCGCCTCGGGCTCTCCTGTCCCACTTCCCCGCGGGTCCTGCGCGCTTTTGAAGGAGATAAAGGTTCGCAGATAAGGGTCGCGATTTCCCTTAATCGCCTTTTTGACTTTTATGGCAATGTCAGCGTGGAGGGGAGGCTGCCCACTGCAGCCCTTAGCGAGGTAGTTTCGGTGACAGCTCGGTGGGAGGCCGGGATGCGGCGAGCGGGGCGCGCAGCCCTCGGCTCGGCCCGGCCCCGCGCGGCCCTTCGTGCGGCCCCGAGCTGCAGCCCCGCACGTGGCCGTGGCCGTGTTGACCCCGCGGGGACCTGGTGCTGCGGGAGATCTCGGGAAATGTATTTTTAATTGCGGCTCTGTGCCTCTGAAGTTTCCAGGCAACTTGAACGTTACGGTAAATACAGGACTTGCTGTTAATTCGGAAGTGTGTGTAGCACATAGTCGGGATACGTATTCTCTGTGTTTATTAACAGTATTTAACGCAGCTATTAACCCACGACCTTCATTCCTTTCACCTTTTTTTTCCTTTTTTTTTTTTTTTTTTTTTCTGTAAGTAAAAGCAACTATAGGATGCTGTTCACCCTAAAAGTTTGAGCAAAGCATCCCCGCGGCTCACGTAGCTGGCATCTTGTGCTGCACCGCTTGGGAACGGCAGGTGGTATTGCTGAAGTCCCCTCGGTACTGCTCAGCTTCCCGTCCCGGTGTCGCACTGGTCCAGGGGCTCTGTAGATGTACCCCAGTGGAGCATAGCTATCACTGCAGCGTAAAAAAAAAAAAAAAAAAAAAAAAAAAAAAAAAAAAAAAAAAAAGGCTCTTCCTGCAGAAACCGAAGAAGCTGTGGTTTCCTTCTTTGAAGAACAACAGCAACAACAAAAAAAGAAATGGTGGAATACATATTTGTCTTATTAGGTATTGCTAGATTTCAGTATGTGGGAGAGAAAGAAGCAGGGGAAAAGGACGTGGATTGCGATTGTTCCATGTTGGACTCCAGTTCTGTGAAGATTTCTTTTATAGACATTGAGACAGCACATATCCCTGCAAGACAGTAATTTAGAGGTACTTTGAAAAATAGATGTTTTCAGTGACACTAGACAAAATGTTGTCTAACAGCATAATACACAGTTGGTTTGATCTTGATTTTTAAGCTTTATGGAATCAGGAAGCACTGGTATTTTAATTAATTTTAAATAAGAAAAGACCAGGCTTGTTTGTCTTTTTGTAAGCTTTTGAAACGTAGTTTCATGGGAGTCAGTTGATTTCCCTCTCCATATTAAGTATCTAGAAAACTCTGCTTTTTGAAAAATGCTTTCTAGCAATGGCTCGTCTATTTCAGGAACATTAGGGTGGAGGAGGGAGCTGCTCTGTCATGTACTCCTGGGAGACTCCTACTCTTGAAGATGTCAATAGTGTCATTGCTATGCATGGCATAGCAAGAGATTGTCTCAGAACTTGTATCTGCGCAATGCATGAAGATGTGATAATTTGGTGAGAAAAGTTGCCCTCAGCTCTTTTGCATAGAAAGGTATAATTTATACATATACATAAGGATACTTTGGATGCTTTTCTTAGCTTTTTGCCCTCGATCCGGCTGTGTGGGTGCTTAGCTGCTGCCTGGGGTCAACCCACCAGAGTTATAAAACGCACGGCATGATTATTTTCACTTCAGTTTGGGAAAGAGGGCAAGGGCATTCCTCAAAGCAGGAATTGTAGCTGTAAGAATCTTTGCTGCTTTAAAACACTGAGGTTGTGTACCATGAATATCTTCTTAACGTGTGATTTGTTTAGATTCTGGATTCCCTTCCTCTTTGTGTTTCCTTTGATGTTTCTAGCTCTGTGACTAATTGAATGATTTAGAGAGTATCAAAAGTAGTTGGCAGATGAAAAAGAGGTCAGTTTCCACCATGCTTCGGAAGTGTGTATTATTGTGGTAGAAATTAGTGGCTTCTTTGAGAAGGGAGTGCCTTCTTTTCATGTTGTGGAAGTTGTTGCGTGAACCTCTTGATAACAGTAGCTCATTCAAAGTAGAAAGAATTGTGTATTCAAATCAGCGTAGTGCAGGTGAACCTCTAGTTGTGCTTTGCAATTACTTGGGTCATGTAATTACTCAAAAAACATGAAGTTGGTTACAGACTGACATTGACTGCAGTCAGGTGAGTAAGTAAACGTACTTAGAACTTTGGTGTAAGATGAAACAAATTGAGAATAAAACAGGTGATTGCTTTTTACCTTCAAGCCAGTATTGTGGTATATGCACAAATTTGTGGTATTGTGGAAAATGCACAACTAGAGGACATGTAGTATTATCTCTACACTGCTGAGGTTCTACTTAGTATCAAGCAACAGTCACTTGTTAGCCTTATATATCATGGCTTGACTTCTTTTAAACTTTCAGTTTGAAATTATAATTCTGTCTTTTGACATCTAGGGTCAATCTTAACTTTATATTCTGTGTTCTTAGGGCACTGAAACTAATTCTCCATTGCTTCAGCAAAAAGCAGTTGCAGAAAATAACATCACTTCATAGATGGGCTCTGTGATAGGGAAGGAACTGTGGCACTCGATTGCCTGTGAGATGCTGTGTTCTTTGTTAGATTGCAATGCTTGGGCACTGCTCTGTGCATTTATGTTTAATTCTAATGATGCATCGAATCAGACTTTTCCCTACTACTAATCAAACTGTATGTGTGCATGTACTCTGACTGTTACTTTTGGTTGGCTGTTTTGTAGGCACAGCAGTGACTTTTAGAACAGATTTGAATTAATGTTGATTGTTTTTTTTTCCTCTTCTATTTGGCAACCAATTCTTTTTTGTTTTGAAGAGATTGTTACGCAAACCAACAGAAACAGCCATCCGAGAATAGTTGCCATCTCCTTTCCCTTATACTGGGAAGGAAGTGAGCTTCTGGGGGAAGTGGAATCCCCTTCTCTTGACAGGAAGGGAAAAAAACATAGCAAAGATCAACTGATTGCAAGTGGTGACTGTCTTTGACTCTCTCTGCAGCTCTCCAGCAGTGGAAATACTAAGAGAATGAGTTTTTCAGGATGATCCATTTCTTGTATCTTGTAAAGGGAGGGGCTATATTCTTAAAGGCTAACCTTAGAGTTGTCAGAATTTTGCATCTCTTCTGGAGACCTAAGAAGCTTTGTATTATTTACAGTGGAGAAAGTATTATAATTACCTGTTAACATTTTTTGTTCCCTCGTAGTGCCAGGGATCTGAACAATGACAAATGTAAAGCCTATCAGAGAACAATTTACATGGGGAAGGATATGGGCAGAGGAAAGAGCTGTGACATAGAAAGGCAAGAAGGAGATAAGCTGCCAACAGATTTTATTTTCTTCTTGTTTTCTTCTTTCATAAATCTTGATTTTTTTTTTTTTTTTTTTGGTGGAACAAAAATAAAGGTTAAAGGATTCTGAACCTCCGTTGCATGTGTCTAGCTGGGAGGTTGCCCATCTCACTACTGTACTGCCTGGTGTGAGGCAAAAATGAGCAAAGCTGGGATCTTAAGGCAAGCTAGTGAGAGATAGGCAATAGAAGTGTTTGGTTTGTTTTAAGCCATTGTTCTTTTCCTTTTAGCTAATCTGGGGATACTGGATTCATTGTATTGTCACAAACTTTGGACTTGTGTTAGTTTGTACTTGCAAGGGAAGAGGAGAGTGAAGCCTACAAGTAACTTAGCAAAGGGCTGCAGAGTTCTGGAGGCAGAACAATTTGGAATTTCCACTTGAGTCTAATAGTTTCACACCTAATTGTAAGCTATGAAAGGGTTAAAACAGTTTGAAGGA